TTTTTTAACCAGGTAATTGAATAAATTAAAACAACCGGCACACTAGGAGTGTGGCTGCATTAAGTTGAGGCTAACAAAGCAAAACACTTTAAATATGTTTAAATCCTTGCTAAACTGATAGCCGTGTGGTCTTTGTTAAAGTGTCTGTGACAGAGGCTCTATTCAAAATGCTTCTTTTATAAATTTATTTTTGCATCCTTGGGTAATGAGAATACTACTGGATTCTACTTAATTATTCCCCTTTTCATTCTTTGTGCCTCACCAACTTTTATCTAGATAAGCAAGTTCCTTTTACAGCTGTTGCTTTGAATTAGCAAACTTTTTTCCAGCATGATAATCTTCCATTTTAGAAATCAAGCAAATCCACTTTTTTTAACAGCAATTTGTACTTCAGACATGATTTCATAGGGTGTTTTAGGGAGTTACCAGTCTTGAACTGGTTGACTAAAGAAAAACAGATTGTGCAACGTTGACATTTGCAGTTTTATTACCAGCTACAACTCCAACCCTCCTACCAGTTGACCAGTCTTGCAGCTCTATGAAGCCCTCTCTTTTACTTTGTATGATTTAGAAACATTTCTGAAGGGATACAGTTATGTTCCCTATACCTTTTATTGTACTCCTTTCTCTTGCAAAAGAGAAGAACCTAATTTGCAAAATCACCAAATACCTCCTATTTTTATACAAGTCAGAGATTGACTGTATTTATATCATCGCACTGTTTCCGCAACACCCATTGCAGTGACTCATACATAATTCCCAAAGGAGTGAAAAGAATATTTAAAAAATGAAAGCAGCATTCGCTGAACTGAAACTAGAAAAACTGGCAGGAAATCTTAGGTCTAACCCTTTAGAAGAAAAAAAAAAAAATCTGTGGAAAACTTTTTTTTCTGTACTACTTTGTGTAAACAGCTTATTATGTGTCCTTCTAAAGATGTAGTGAGATATTTTTTTTTTGTCTTTAGATATGAGAGAATTCACAGATTTTTTGCTTCTCTTCCCTTATTTTTAGACAGCCTAAAAGTGTTCAGATGTATATCATGCTCACTTCTTCAAAGTCCTCCCTTCTCCTTGTTGTCAATGATTGTCTCTTGCAAAGTTTTTTTAAAAGAATTTTAGGACTATCTTCTTTTTCCAGTGTAGAAATTCCATTGTGGCTTGTTTTTTTTAATATACGTGCCTTCCAGTTTGACTGTCATTGTTGTAAGAATCTTTAAGAAGTTGGATACTACATTTTTAGCTGAGGAAAAATTATAATCAGTGAGGCACATTGTTAAAAAATTATTTGGGTTTTTTTTTAATATGTATTTAAATATTTATCTTTTAAAAAAAGGAGGGGGGAAGTTGTAATTCGTAAAAGCAAAGGAGCTCTAGAAGTTCTGAAGACATTTTAACTTACACAATGACTAAAATAGTTCTTTGACTGTGGCTTGACTTTGCTTTTTTCCAGACAGTGTTTGAAAAACCTTTGTCTCAGTTATCTCTTGAGAAGTTAGTAACCTGCAGGAGCTGTGATCTGCACTTAGATGCTTCTATTTCCTTATTTTTGTAAAAATGCCCATAAAATGCTGAGACAGTTAATTTTCTTCATAGCATCCTGTGTGATACTGTGTTTCAGATTTCTGACTAGGGGTGGAGGGGAGGTAGTGAGCAGTTATGTGGTACTCTGCAGGGAGTTAACCCACAACAAATGCTTTCCATCATACTTGTCCTAGGTACGTAAAAATTGGAGGAAAGAGATGAATGGCTGTGTCTCTATGTTTGTGTATTATTTTGTTTGTTTATGCACTATTTTCCCTGGCCTGCAAAAAGGGAATATATTTAATGTCTGGAAGGGAACAGGAAATCAATTAATTATAATGCAAATTGTGCATAACAGTTATAATGAGGCTAAGTGTACTAGAAGATAAATCATAGTTCTGACAATAGCAAAATTTAAAAAAATACTTTGAGAAGTCTTATAATTCAGTTGGGGAACACGCTAAGTGGAAGCTCATGACTTTTATAAGTGATAGAAGTGAATGAAAGGGTATTTAATTTCATATAGACCGAGGCCATAAGAGATTACTGCCTAGTTGAGACTTGTGATCCAGAATAGTGTCAGAGAGTGGCAGCACATAAATCTGGCTGCTTTGTATGCTCCCTTTGGACCTTTCCAGTATCCACAGCTGTTGAATTTCAGTTTTCAGAAGGTACTTCCTAGCACTTCTACAGTCCACTTATGGACCTGTCACCAATCATGTTGTCTCATCCCTTTTCCAACTGTTTGTACTATCTCTTTCCACAGCATAATCTAAGATTACTGTACAAAGACTGGTTTTTGGTTGATTTCCTATCAGTTTTGTCAAGTGTCTCCACTTCTTGTATTTAGGGTGAACAGTGGGTTTCTTTTACCCATATCTATCACCTTAATGATTTTCTAAACTTCGGTTGTATACCCCTTGGCCATCACACCTCCAGACTACAGGACTTTAAGATTAAAGGCTAGCCTTTCTGCTCTTTCATCAAGGCATCTCTCTGCCTTTGCCTTTGTTCTGGTTGCCATATTCTGTACCTTCTCTAACTCCTTTTGAGATGCAGACCAGAACTAAATATTACCGAAGACATGAATGTCTCAAAATTTTAATGCAGTCAAAATGTTGCTTTCTTTAAGCATCCTTCACAATGATGCTTACCATTTGTTGGCTTGTACAGCTGCCTCCGCACTGGGAGCAGGAATTAGATGCAAGTCGGTAAGAGCTGATTGCTCAGCAGTGTTCTGACAGTTGAGTCAAAGCCTTCCTTCTGATTCCTGGGGTAAGTGTGAGATGATGCTCCCTTCAAAAGTCCTCTCAGGACTTTATTTAGATCCATGGCAGCCTTCTACCTCCTTGCAGAATGTGTCTTTCCACATGCCCTTATGCTTCCCTTTCTCACACTGGCTTTTGAGTTCCTCGAAGAACAGTGATGGAAGAGCAGAGTAATGTAACACTTCTGCATTTTGTATGTCTTCCCTATTTATACTAGAACAAGCAGAGAGGTCAGAAAGTTTCTTAAATAAAGTTATATTGCACTGAATTTACACTGGATTTTTCTGAATTTCTGAAGTGGTGTTATGCAGAATGATATGTGAAGAAAATCCTATAGTGTAGTAGTGAATAATATGTGGTTTAAGTTAAACACAGACATGAGTCAGCACTGTGGCTTTGCCTCAGTAAAAGGAGACTGCTTAATGGCTTATACCAGCAAGAGCTTAGCCACCAAGCAGAGGGATGTGGTTTGTTTCCCTGCACATAGCATTAGCAAGCCTGTGTCTGGAGCACTGTATCTGGTTTCTTTTCCTGCACTGCTCAGCACAGGAGAGATGTAAACAAATGGAGAGGACCTAGCAAAGACCTGCCAAGGAAGTGAGATGGCTGCAGCACGTGATGTAGTCATGGAAAGGGTAAAGGAGCTCAACTTGGTTTGGCAGGAGAAAAGTCTAGTGGGGAATCTAATTGCATCTTTTCATCCTCAAAAGTGAGATTATAGAGAAAATGGAAATAAAATCTTCTGAGGGGTGCACTCTGAAAGGGCAGGAAGCAATCATCACAAGATGCAACATGAGGAACTTCTGCTGAGGTATGAGGAAGAATACCTTCCCTGTGAGACTGGTTAAGCAACTGAAACAGATTGTTCAGAGCAACTGAAGGTATTTGGGGTGTAATTGGACAAGCCTCTGAGAAACCTGATGTAACTATGAAGCTGTCCTTCCAGTAGGTTTGAATAGGTGACATCCTTCTGATATTAATTTTTTGTTTGATTCTTTATTTATGAATAGATAGTGAGACATTGCCAAAATGTGTATATTGTTCTCCGTGGACTTTGGTGTGGTCTAACATCAGTTCTGTTTACAAATGGATAATTTTCCCAGGTAATCTGAGCTTTCAGCAATGTTTTCCTGTTGTCCTCTTGGACGGTAATGGAAAAAGCAGTGACTGTGTGTTCTGGGGATCGTTCATGGGTAGGGCTGTTGTACTCTGGAGACTTCATATGCAGACACTTCAGAGCCTGTTTGTCCGGTTTCTTCCAAAATCACCTGCTCTTGTTCTAACCCTGTCAACCTTGCTGATCACTGAAAATGCCGAGTTGTTTTCAAAATCCCAGCCTTTTCTCTCAGAGCTTCTGATCTCTTGGTGAGAAGGCAGGGAGGAGTGTTCTAAAATGGTAAAGCTGTTTCAAACAAGGATGTGAGAGGTCTTGCTGCCAGTGACATCTCTGGTCAGCCCCAGCACCACTTCCCCAGGCAGGTCCATCTGTGTGGCTGTGCAGCAGATCGGATCAGGGCAGCATCTCATTTTTGCCTGCTGTCCCCAGTGCCTTCAGCTTACCTCATGGCTCTAAATAAGCAGTGCTGCTCTTTCATCAGAGGGAGTAATGCTTGGTGGGAGCGTGTCAGGGGGATGAAGGGTAGGAATTAGGTGTGGCCTAAGGCTGTGGCAGATGTGCATGCCAGATGACAAGTAATCACTGCAGCCTTTCCCAGCACAGGAGCATATTGAGGCTTTGTCTAGCAGCCACTGAGACCCTGGAGAGGTCTTGGCAGCCAGTGTTTGTAGCCTCAGAAGCACCCTGTGTCCAAGAGTGGCCCCAAGGACACCATGCTCCTGTCTTGTCTGTCTCCATACCACCTTCTTCTCCGTAAAATGCTCTGTTCGGTGCACCCTGCACATTGGTTTGATGTGCAGCCTTAACTATGTCCAAGTTAACATGTGACCTATGTGGGTATTTGATCTTTGAGAATGCTTTGGGTGTTAGGCCATTTCTGGGTCCTACTGACCAAGGTAAGTGTGGACAACAGCTGGTGATATTCTCCAGCAGCCAGTTGCTTTAGAAATAAGTGTTCTCTGAGCCCCTTAACAGAGACTTTGCTCTTCTTGCTTGACATATATTCAGTGTCCATGTTCAATGCATTAAGGTACTGGATTAAATAAAGGGCCATTAACTTACGTGATCTGCTGTTTCTCTGTGTATATATATAGGATGACAAAGAAGCCAACAGACCCATGCCAAACAAAGGAGACCATGGACTGGGAAATGAGAAGTTCAAACCTGTGGTACCTTGGCCTCATGTGGAAGGTGTGGAAGTGGACTTGGAATCCATTCGAAGGAAAAATAAGGCCAAAAATGAACTAAACCATCATGGTGATGGTGAAAACAAACAACAAAACATAATCCAGAGGCAGTATCTCACTTTTAAGCCTCAGACATTTGTATACAGAGATCCTGTTTTACGACCTGGAGTCCTTGGTAATTTTGAACCCAAAGAGCCTGAGCCTCCTGGCGTTGTTGGTGGCCCTGGAGAGGAAGCGAAGCCATATGTTTTAGGACCAGATTACAAAGAATCCATTCAAGCCAGCATTAAAGAGTTTGGGTTTAATATGGTGGCCAGTGATATGATCTCACTAGATCGGAGTGTTAATGACTTGCGTCAAGAAGAGTAAGCAAACTTTTTTCTTCAAGTTTTATTATTTTATTTCCATGTATCTTAATTGATGCTTAAAATAATATGCTTAAGCTAAATACTTCTAGTTTCTTGTCCTGACAGGCAGGAGTGTTGTACTATGCCAAATGTTTAAATATATTATTCTTAATGCTGTTGCAATTATTCCTTTCATGAATACTTTGTCTATATTGATTTCTCTCTGAAGTAATCCATTTTAGTGTCTAATCACATGCATGTTCCAGGTCCAGCCCCAGTATTCATTGTCATATCTTCTTAATCCATAACTTCTTCAGATTTGGTTTCAAGAAAGAAACATTCTTTATTATCTCCTGCAGAATTTCCTATACTGGTTAATTTATTCAGTTCTGGATTCACCTTGATGCTTTAAAAATTAAAGCTAAATAAGTAAGTTTTGGAGAGAGAAACAATGAAATGTTGTTCCCTTTAAACAGCTTTGCTTAATTACCTGGATTAACTGAGATATAGATCTGACATAGTGGTGTTTCGAGCTGACAGAATAGTAATCTTCTAAAAGTTTCTCACTGCATTTGTCGTAAAGGAGGAAGCAGCCTTAGAAAAAACATTATTTACTGGGACGGTGTCTGATTTGGTGTGGAGAAATTCCAGGAAGTTACTAACATATGCTCAGTGATTACTAACGGATATACATAGGCTATTCTGATCTTTGGTATATGCTGGAGCCATATTTACAGTCAAGATAATCTACATTTGATACAATTTTGCATGTTAAATATCAGCTAGACAGATATCTTAGCAAACTAATTGGCAGGGTTGTTTTGGTTGCAGGGTTGTTTTGTTTGTTGTTTTTTATTTGCAATTGGAGGGGAGGGCAAATGAATTTTGATATGAAATTAAGTACTTACCTGTTTTCACTTCCCCCTCATCCCTAGCAATGGAGCTGTGCTAATATCTGCATTGGGTACCAATTTCTGGGTTATATGTTTCCAGCTGTTTCCAGTTGATCTGTTTGATTGGTCACTGACTGGCTGCTGAGGCTCTCCTGTGGCCCTTTTATTGGGCATGTTTTTCCATTTTACGAGGTAGGGGAGAGCTGGCCAGCTGTGAGTCTGACTCACGCCTGTGTATGAACAGCTGCTTGAATGTACTACCTGATGCGTACTCATGGAAAGTGCACAGAGTACTGCCTTCTCCTTCCATTGTGCCGTGTTCCTCAGATCACTTATTGAAGGTTTCTACCTGCTGACAGTCAGAGTAGAGGACCAAGCCTGTTCACTGCTGGTGGCAATGAAATGTTGGCTCTCCTGGTGTTGGTTTCAGTTTTCTTTCTCCATTAGGGTCGGCAGTAGGACCTCTGCACTAAAGAGATTTTTCTGTAAGTGGAAGAAACAGTCTGGGTAACCTGTGTTTTTCTTTTAGGAGTTGATTCCCTAGACATGGCTACTTCTGCTGAGACATTTACAGCCACTGGGGCCCCTGTTTTTTGGAGGCAAGAGGACTAAGGAGTAGAAAAAACTTTTCCCCACTGAGTGTTGTGATTAACTGAGCAGAAGAGGAGCTGATACCGGAAGTTCATGTTTGCAGAGCTCACTTTGGCCCTGTCTTCTAAAGAAAGAGAGTGGGAAGGAGGTGGAAGCACAGTCTCCTCTTCACTCTCTGCTCCACAAGGACAACAAAGCAGAAATAGCAGCACATGGTGTGCAGGTGGGACTGGCTGCCCAAGCCCAGCCTAGTAGCCTTATCTTAGGCAGCAGAGCTCAAGTAGTCCCTCCCCTCCAATTCTTCCAAGGTGGGAGAGCATATGGATCTGCCAAATAGTTCTGAACCTATAGCTTCCTGAAGTGTTTTTGGCATAAACTCAGAGTTTGTCTTTACTTCTGTTCTGAAGGAGCATAACAAATAGAAACTCCCTAATAAAAATTAAATAGTTGGAGGAATCGGAGGAACAGCCATGTGACAAACCAGAGCAGAGGTGATGAATTTTAGAAAGTTTCCTCCAAATGCACATGCAGAGAAGTTTGCCATGAAGGTCAAAGCCAGCAGCTCAAATCAAAGTTAGGTTTTATTACTTAGGGCATCTTCAATACAACTTCATAATAAAATATTTTATGTAATGAATACTTGGCATATTTATAATTGCCCTAAATAAGATAAAAAGATGTATTGTAACTTCCATGTCTGTCCTGGGAACAGCAGAGGAGAGAGGAAGCAATGTAAGGCTGGTAGATATTGCTATAAGTTTTCAGGTATCTACATACTCGCTTTCCTGCTCAACCCCCGATACTGGCAAGAAGTGCAACAAAAGGTAGCAGTTTGCCTGTTGGATGCATCATTTAGTTTCTTCCCACGGATCTGTTTAAAAAGTCTAGAAGTCGTTCTGGTTGATAAAGCTGGTCAACATTCAGTTTAATTCTACTGAAGAGCAGCATAATCTTTTTTTGGTTAATGACATCTTGGCATTTCTGATTGAGGAATAACTTTCAGGCAAGGACTGGGTTATTAATTCAAAGACATTCAAATTCAGGTAGATGTCACCTCAGCCTTGCTTTGCTTTAAGCATCCAAATTTTTAAGCATCACCTTAAGCATTTAGATTTGTTCAGTGGAGTATGCCAAATACTTTCCCAAGCACTGCTAACTGGAGTGAAATAGCACTGCAAGAGCTGTCTTGCTCAGCATAAAAGCCATATAGCCTTAAGGCTTGTCTCTGCTGGTGGAAGAGGAGGGAAGAAATGCCAATAAAAGGGATTCAATCCTGTGATGTTCAGATTTCATTTTGGCAAAGTGTCTCAAGACAATTTGCCAGCTGCCTTCATGGATTCAGTAGGAACTTTGCTGGTGATTCTGGGCAGTTTCAGTTACTGTAAAAAGTCTTAACTCTTGCTGCACCCTGTAGAGCAGAATAACGTTGGATGGCAAATTGAAGTTGTTTGCCACTATAACATACTCTTACCTTAGGGGTTCTAACCAATCTATTTCAAAGTTGAAGCCAAACACCTCTGTTGGTACAACAATACAGCAATTCATAGGGCTGGTTAAACAAAATTGAGAATGTATGAGGATACGTAAAAGTCAGTGTACAAAGTGTCAAAGATGGCATCGTCTCGCTGCAGCCTTTCAGCGCTCTGCAAGAGGGCCAGGGCAGGGGGGGCATAAACTGGTCTTAGGTGGAGCAGTACATCTTTTCCATGTTATTTCTAGTTGCAAAGAAGTAGACCAGACTTAGGGGGCCCTGTCAAAAACCTCTGTACAGTTACTGGAAGAAAGCTTTTTTTTTTTTTCTTAAAACTTATTTGTACAATTTTTTTAATCTTTTATTATCATGATAGGTGGCAGCCTTTTACTTTTAAGAACAGTCATTTATATTGATTTTTACATGTTGTCCTTTACTCCTAGGAGATCTGTGATAAAACTAATGTTGCCTTTAGGGAAGAAGAATATTAATTTGATTGCTCCCTTGATTATTTGTGTGTGTGTATGATCAGGAGTTTGCACGGAGATAGAGCTGCAGTAAAAAAAGGATAATAAAGTTTTCTGGATGAACTTGGATTCAATATAAATATACCATACTAGGGAAATAGAAAATGGACCTAGATCTGAGGATGAATGCTGTCAGGTATCAACTTGTGTCCTCCCAAAAAAAAATTGTGACTGAAGAGAATTGCTGCTAGGGAGAGCAAGAACTGAGTTGTTTCTCCAGCATAATGAGGATAATTATCCATAGTATTTTAAAATAAAAATAATTTTTAAAAATACAGCTATACTGGGTCTGACCAGAGATCAGATTTTTTGACAGTCTTGTCTCTAGCTCTGGATGATAACATGTGCTTGGGAGAAAGCATACAAAAATCGACTGTAGTTCATTCCTGGCAAGCAGAAGGCTAGACACTTGAGCCAAAAATTGCAGGAGGATTGTCGTGCTTCATAGACCTTTTTTCTGTGCACAGGCTTGTATTTTAAATGCATTTATACTCTTGGCGTTAATTACATCCTGAGTCAATGACTTTTCCAGGCTGAGGAATATGGTGTTTGCTTAGCATCTCCTCCTGGATACTGCCATGTACATCTGTTACTCTGCTGTCTTGTGATATGGAAGTATCAGAGATATTTACATCAAGCTACTATATAAATGTTTAATATTCCTTCTTTGTTATTGCTACCATTCTATTTGCCCTTTCATGAACTCTGATCTAAACTGCTCAAATTGCTATCCACATTTGACTCCAAGATACTTTTTTGGAGTGGTAAGCCAAATTTAGGGTCTATGACTGAGTATCTGCACTAGGAGTGGTCTTAACACTCCATGTACATAAATTTGTACTTGCCATGAGCTCTTCTACCAGCTCATTTGCTCAGTTGTGTCCTTGAACTATTCTGCAGCTGTTGATAGTAATTTTAATTGCAGCTACCAATAACTTTTTTTATTGTTCTGTAGTGATGTGGAAGAGGAGGTGGACAGCTTGGCTCCCAGCACCAACACTTATGCTGCTACAGTCACAAACCTGCTTTAAAAATTTGAATGAATTGACAGTTTTTACACTTTGGCAGTTATTAATCTAAGAGATCTTACATCTTACCTGCCATACTTTGAAGACCTGTGCTTGTGAAGAAAGCAAAGAACCTTGTCACAGGCTTTGGAAATTCAGTTACTCTATTAATAAGCTCACCTGAGTCCACATAGTTTTTGATGTCTTCAAAAGATGATAATAGGCTTCTGTGGCATGGCTTTCTTTTGCAAAAGTTGTGTGTATGATTTACTTATTTTTTATTATTACTATCATATTATTCAATGCAGAAGTCAGCGTTAGTGGTCTGCAATTCTTTAGCTCCCCAAAGCCCTTTTATAAAAATTGGTGTCATGTTATCCTCCTTCTGTTGGTTTGATAACAAGGCTGGTGTCAGCAATAATTGTACACCATAATAGTTTGTTAATTTGTGTTGTGTTCTTTTGGAAATACTAGGTTGATTTAAAACATTTGGCTATTCATGGCAGAAGAATCCAGCAGAAGCTATCAT